GTTCTTTATGTTAGGGCTGCACAATTAATCGAATTTCTAATCACCATTACAATTACGGACGCCACAATAATGTAATCGTTCAAAGTGGCAATTAATCGTTCAATGTCCACTTATGTTATTCTGAATTATTTCTACAAGTTATCTTAAGGGTTTTTCCATTGTTTCAATTTTAGTTTTAATATAAAATTATAATTCTTCTTTAATTTTTAAAGAAGAAACTAATCCACGTATAGTTGACATTTGAGGCTTAATACTATAGAAAATCAATAAAAGTTTTTCAGGGAGAGTGTTTTCAGCTTGTTTATTTTCATATACAAATACAGCATGCCGTTGCTTCAAACAAAGGTATAAACATCATTCAGTGTAAATTGTGATAAACTTAATTAATAAATCGCAATTACAATTTCAAGAGAATAATCGACAATTATGATTTTTCAATCGTGCGCCCCTAGTTTGTGTATATATATATATATTTTTTTCAGACCTCTAAGATTTTCTTCTGTGGAACACAAATATTATTATTTTTTTATTTTATTATTATTTTTTTAAATGTCAGTGTTTTGTTTTTGTTGTTCATGCAGTGTTATTTTGAACAGAATGGACAAAGACAGCTGAAAAAATTTTCTAATTTTTTTTTTTTTTTTGGTGTGTGTGTGTGTTCCACAAAAGAAAGTCATATGGGTTTGGAATGGCATGAGGGTGAGAAATTAATTAATTGTAATTTATTTTATAGTGTTATTTAATTTTTTCTTTATTAACTGTCTTTACATTTATTTTGAAAGCTGAAGCTCGCGATTATGGTAAGGGGCGTAACATTACCGACGAGTGCTTGCGGTGCTCGGCCAATCACAATGCACTGGGCCAGCTGGCCAATCAGAGCAGACTGCGCTTGTCAGAAGGAGGGACTTTGTAAAAAACAAAGTTTGAGAGAGGCGGGGCATAGAGGACCTACAATAATGTACAGTATTTGAAAAATAATGTGTTTTTTGAACATTAAAGCATGTCAACATATACTGTTACACCAAATAATGATCTTTAAAAAGACTGTGTATAATGCATCATATTGCCTTTTCTTATTCTTTCATTCTTCTTATTTATTTATGTTTTATTTTTCAAACCTTAACTACTATGTACAATGCATCATGTTGCCTTCTTCTGACAGATCCTCTTTTTTTCAGTGCACGCTCGCCCTCAAAATACACCCAAAAAGGTGAGTGTGTTCACAGAAAAGAGTAGTAAGGGTGGAAGACGAATACAGGAAGTGGGCTGCTGCTGCTGCTGCTGCTGATGATGATGATGATGATGCTGATGCTCAGGTTCTGAAATCTTTGAAGGAAAGTTTGAGAGAGGCGGGGCATAGAGGACCTACAATAATGTACAGTATTTGAAAAATAATGTGTTTTTTGAACATTAAAGCATGTCAACATATTCTGTTACACCAAATAATGATCTTTAAAAAGACTGTGTATAATGCATCATATTGCCTTTTCTTATTTTTTCATTCTTCTTATTTATTTATGTTTTATTTTTCAAACCTTAACTACTATGTACAATGCATCATGTTGCCTTCTTCTGACAGATCCTCTTTTTTTCAGTGCACGCTCGCCCTCAAAATACACCCAAAAAGGTGAGTGTGTTCACAGAAAAGAGTAGTAAGGGTGGAAGACGAATACAGGAAGTGGGCTGCTGCTGCTGCTGCTGCTGATGATGATGATGATGATGCTGATGCTCAGGTTCTGAAATCTTTGAAGGAGTCACGACACGTGACGTCACAGCAGCAGCAGCAGAAGAACGCGTTTGGTTTCCTCGTACCGTTCAGAACGTCCTGAACTCAAGAGGACACCGTTACATACACACGCAGAAGAAGCAGCTTTGCTCCGCTCCGTTTGTGTGAATACCACCTGATACCGCTCCTCAATGGCAGAATAAACTTCCATCTGACTTGCTTTCATGTCTGACAGATCTATGACTGCTATTGGTCAGCCCCAAGACATCATAGTACAGTAATACACACCTAAACCAAAGTGCTTATATTAAATCAATGCTTCTAGCACAATGCATCATTTACAGGCCAATAAAGAAGCACAGACGCTTCAAAAGCATTGCAACCTCCAGGCACTGCTGCACATACATTAAGTTCACGTACTTGCAATTGCATATGAAAAAAAGTGCATCAAATAGACTGAGTGTGTTACACATATATATGCATTAATTTTGACTCACCATGCCCGGGCTCTGAGCTTTTATGCGGCTATAATATGAGATGAATCCGTTTCTGCTCGCTCATGCTTCCTCTGGGGCCTTTGTATTTCACCTTTGGGAAGCACCGAAAGTCCGCATCACTGTCCCGCACACGCCCGGTGGACCCCGGGCTCGGGCTCCGAGACACTTGTTATTATTGTTGATCTAACGCGAGCCTAAACGAGACTGGACCTGACGCTGCCCCGGATACACGGCGACAAACCGCATACAACTACTGCGAAATAGAGAGAAGAGCAACAAAACAGCGGTCTTAAAAATATGCCGGGACTCTATTCTGTACGTCTCGGGTGGCGGTAGCGCTGTGCGGGACTCGGTGTTTTAATTTGAGCCCCCAGAAGACTGACAGAGCCACTCCTTGGGTTGCTGGGATCGCTCTTTCCGTGCAGGCCTCTCGTAAGCTTCCTCTCCTCTGCCCATTAAACTAACGGAAGTGACATCTTCCTCATAGAATAGAAATGAGAGCGGGCAGAAAGGCAACGGTTTACTTTAGTGGGCGGGACTTAAAGAGGAGACGCTGTCTCTGATTGGTCAGAAGCGACAGGTCTGAATAGTAATTAGGCGTAATTAGTGAGCTTTTCAAACAATACGTTACGCAATCGTTTATTTTATTTGGAAAATTTCTTGTACAAGAAGAAGCGGGCTCTTTGCTATCCTCATTTTCCTACGTTTTATAAATGACTTTAAATTATATATAAATATATATATATAGATAAAAAAAATGAAAAATGTCTTAAAATGTGTATAACTTTTTTTTTGTCTGGCAGCGAATGTTGTTCATATTGTCACGATTGCAAGACCTCTTGTAAAAACATAAAACATATATAATATGTAAGCATAAATAAGCAAAATCTCAGTACATTTTGGTATTTATGCGTACGATTTGCATTTATTTATACCATACACATTATAGCACACGTTAAACTACTTAAACGTTCTAAATTTTACTGCAGTAAATCTTATAAATAATTTAACATTGTTTTTTTTTCTTTTAAAGAGTCTCATTTTACACATTTTAGCTTTCGCTTTAGTCGTCACGTGGTACTTGTTACTTTTCTCAGCGCTGGTCGGGCTGCACCAGTCACCGTCGTTTGTGATTACTAATCAGGCTCGATCTTTTCATCATTTTATAGAGGAATCAGATGGAGAATTCCCATTAGCATGTCAGGCACGTATATTTGTAATAACGTGACTTAAATGATTATACTTTATATTATACAAATGTCTCCAATAAGATAAAAGTCGTTCTGAGATTTGAATGCGGCTCAATAGAGGAATCGGCGTTGTGAGCCGTCAAGCGCAACTTGAGGAAAAACATTACGTGCTCTACACTAAACTGTAATTAGGAACTAGTTGCTAGTTGCTTTTGCCACCCAATGTACTCTACTCATTCAACTACCGGAAGTGAAATCTTAATCTCGGACCGGATGAAACTAACCGGCCGCAACAAGCCACATGTCGAGTACAGTGTGTATGTGTTGCCTCACTATTACACACATGCATCCGCCAAACCAGAGCTTTTCAGTCTTTTAGATGCCACGGACCCCCAAATATGATGACCCTCGTGTGAGGGACCCACATATAAATACCTCATTCACATTTATATTTACATTTAGTCAAGCTTTTATTCAAAGCGACTTACAAATGAGGACAATAGAAGCAATCAAAACCAACAAAAGGGCAATAATATGCAAGTGCTTGTATGTATATATGTATATATATATAAACCGTGCTACTATAAATGCTGCTATATATAAAATGAATACAAGAAAAACAAGTAGATAGAATAGAAAAAGAGTAGGGGACGCTAGAATTAGAGGGTCATCTTTTAATATAATAAATAAAAAGAAAACAGGAAGATAGAATAGAAAAAGAATAGAGAATGCTTAGGAACTAGTTGCTAGTTGCTTTTGCCACCCAATGTACTCTACTCATTCAACTACCGGAAGTGAAATCTTAATCTCGGACCGGATGAAACTAACCGGCCGCAACAAGCCACATGTCGAGTACAGTGTGTATGTGTTGCCTCACTATTACACACATGCATCCGCCAAACCAGAGCTTTTCAGTCTTTTAGATGCCACGGACCCCCAAATATGATGACCCTCGTGTGAGGGACCCACATATAAATACCTCATTCACATTTATATTTACATTTAGTCAAGCTTTTATTCAAAGCGACTTACAAATGAGGACAATAGAAGCAATCAAAACCAACAAAAGGGCAATAATATGCAAGTGCTTGTATGTATATATGTATATATATATATAAACCGTGCTACTATAAATGCTGCTATATATAAAATGAATACAAGAAAAACAAGTAGATAGAATAGAAAAAGAGTAGGGGACGCTAGAATTAGAGGGTCATCCTTGCATTCTCTATTCTTTTTCTATTCTATCTTCCTGTTTTCTTTTTATTTATTATATGAAATATAATAAATAAACTTGCTTTTTCACAAAGAAAACAAGTAGTAAGAATAGAAAAATAATAGAGTGCAAGTGTTGAAGGGTCAAGTGTTTTTTTCTTAGAATTAGAATAAAGTAATAAAATGTTGTTTGTTTATTTATTCGTACATTTTTACACTGTTTTTCTCAACTGGTACTCAGATATTATTTACAGTGGTCAATAGTTTTGCCCATTTAACAGAAGTGGTTTTGTCTGCCATACCAACGACTTTTACGGCTAGCACAGTTTGTTTTCAAATATTTGTGATTTTGAATATTTTGCATTAGTTTCTTTTCATTTGAGTGCTTCTAATTTGCTACCTTCAAAATGTATTATAAATGCCTGCATCACATCAGCCGCTCTGCTTTGTAAAAAAATCAGCATAGGTTGATTAGCCAAAACAAAAGCTTTGTTACTTTTTGTTTCTGCATGTAGATGTTCCTCCTGGACTGTGAGAATCGGTCTGTGACTGTCTGTCATTTCTGAAGATGAAAGGGAAGAGCTTGCGTTTCTCTTGCTTCTGGTTGTTTATTGTGGTTTGCTCAACGGCTTCACATTATGCAACCCATCAACTCGAGTACATGTTGAGTAAGACTGCAGATTGACTGGTAAACACATTTACAAACATGCACTTTTTCGCAAGACAGCACATGCAATAAAGATGACTTACAATAAATGAGGTTTATTTCCCTTTTTTTCTGTAAAAGCGAAATATTGTACACACAACATTATCTAGGTCACATCAAGAAACAGGAAGTGATCCACGTGTTCGAACCCTTTAAGGAACACCCACAGACAGCAGTTTTGTTTTCGACATCGTATGTTTTGTTTCACTTAAGAGTGAGGGCACAATAAAAAGATGAATTAATAGCTTAAATCTTGTAAAAACATTCTGTGCATCAAAGAATTCCATAAAACATGATCAAATGAATACATAATAATAAGAAAGCACAGGTTTAAAATGTTTCTCAGCTGGTTTCCTCATGTATATCTTGTGACTGGTAGCGATGTCTCAGTTCTTGTATGTGATAGGCCCACGCTCTGTCCACACCGTCACCCTCTACTTTACACGCCGTCCAATCAGGAAACGGAAAACGTCCCGCCACAATCAAAGCATCTTCAGGCAGCTCGGCCAGTAACTTCTTTTGCAAAAGACTTAACTGATAAAGACACAATATACAGTATATGAGGGCTTAATAATATGATACAAATGCATTAAAGTCTTTGACTGAATTCATTCTAAGTCTTATTAAATGATTTAGCAATCACTGTGGTACTCACCACGCTAGGGGCTAGAAATACTGTGACATTTTTATACGCCGAGAGATCAACCTGGATACACACACGCACACATATATTACGCACAATATTGTGTACCAATCATATCTTGCATGAGAAGTTAAGATAGTGTAAGACAATAGATTATAATATTATAATTAAATATTTTGGGAGCATAATATTGATGTATATGTTATTTGTATAAAATATTTGTGTGTATATATGTATATATATATATATGTGTGTGTGTGTGTGTGTGTGACCTGGACCACAAAACCAGTCATAAGGGTCAATTTTTCGAAATTGAGATTTATACATCATCTGAAAGCTGAATAAATAATCTTTCCATAGGCGTATGGTTTGTTAGGATAGAACAATATTTGGCCGAGATACAACTATTTGAAAATCTGGAATCTGAGGGTGCAAAAAAATCTAAATATTGAGAAAATCGCCTTTAAAGTTGTCCAAATGAAGTTCTTAGCAATGCATATTACTAAT